GGATCGTTGACAAATCTCTTGGCGCATGTGCATCCAAGAAGCGAGGCGTTCGCGCAACGACCCGGAGGCGAGCCCCCGCGGAGGCACAGTGACGAGAGCGTAGCGAGTCGTGCATATCTGGGTACGATTCCGAAGGCGAAGGACACGCCAAAGGGGCGGTGCTGAGCTTGTCTTCCGGGAACTCTGCCTATCGGCGACTGTATCACGCTGAAGCTGCAATTCATCAGCGTCGTAAGACATCGATATGTGTACAATTGGGCCTAACCCATGGCGTAATCTGTCGCTCTGGACTAGCGCACTCCTACCCATTCTTTTCGTCAGCTCAACAGCCCCAGCTTAGAGCTCTGGAATTCAACTAACAGAGCGAGCCGACTCGGACAGTGCCGCGGCACTCTATAGCGACGATTATTAAGCGAGTACCGTTATCTCCGTCTTGCGTGCGACACTGCTTTGAATTACGCCCACCGGTGAGAGGCTGCAAGAGTGCGTCTGTCTGGTTAATCTGAGTGCTGGTCCGGTGTTGGGAGAGTGTCGGTTTCCGTGGGAACCCACCGATGTGAGGATTTGATGCGTATGCCTTCAAGCTTGATGCATTGATGCGCCATCTACGTGGCTCCACCCAAGCGTGGAACCACCCAAACACTTGCGACGCGGAGGCTTCTGCGTCCTCCACGTACGTGTGCTTCACCGTGCGCGTGATCTCTGCCGGCATGTACCCTCTTCGTTGCACCCCTCCTGTACTCTCAGGGCTTCCTGCGTCACCGCTTCTTATCCATGTTACAAATACTGTATAGATGAGTAAGGCTTTGACAAGCGACATTGCTGACTGGGAGTCTCGGAGTCGGGCATCCCGATGCACAAATACGCGAACAACTGTGCTGTTTTCTCCCCACTGGAATCCATTTGCTCTCATGGACCCATCGTTGTACAAAGACACCATTACCTCTCGCAGGCTGACCTACCACTATTACTTCTCCCCCGCCCGACCCTCGAAGCCAACCTTGCTGCTCTGTCATGGGTTCCATTCCACGGCTTATGACTGGCGCCGCATTGTGCCCCACCTGAAAGAGAAGGGATACGGCATCCTCGCCCCCGACATGCTCGGCTTCGGCGAGACCGCCAAGCCAACAGACCCGGCGGCGTACGTCCCGAGCCTGATCTCCAGAGACATCGTCGACATCCTGGACGCCGAGAACCTTGAAAAGGTTGTCGCAATCGGTCACGACTGGTGAGCTCCGCCGTGTCCTCACGAGGCCTCCGGTTGACTGGGTGCTGAGCTGCATGGCAGGGGTTCCAAGGCGGTTTCGCGCCTCGCGAACTATTATCCCGAGCGGTTCCTCGCCTACGCGTTCTTCGCTGTCCCGTTCATGGGGATAACTCCCCCGACTGACTTTCAGATATCCCTGGACTACTTGAAGCAGAAGTATGGATACGAGATATATGGCTACTGGTCCTTTTTCAGCGCGCCAGACGCGGACGAAGTCATCCAGGCTCACGTAGGTGCAGGTGCCCATACGCGTATAACAGCCATTGACGCGCGTCGCAGATAGACTCGTTCGTCAGCATCAGCTTTCCATACGATCCCACGATCTGGAAGACGCGTCTCGCTCCGACGGGCGCGCTGAGACGCAGTCTGCTCGAGGACTATGTTGCGCCTCGGCCGTCCTACTTGTCCGAGGAAGACAAGAAACACTTCGTGGAAACGTTCAGGCGGAGCGGCTTTGAGGCCCCGACGTGCTGGTACAAGGTTATGACGAGCCAGCTGTCTGCCAAGGACGATGGACGTGCGTCTTGTTTCCCCTCGATGCTGGCATTGGCTTGGTGTGGGGCTAACGCTGCACCTTTCCTACAGAGATTCCATTCGAGCGCGCCCTCCCGCCGATGAGCGCGCCACTCTACTTCGGTGCCGCTAAACAAGATTATATCTGTCTTCCCAAGATCGGTTATGCTGTATTTGGGAGTGATGGGTTCAGCAAGCACAGTGTGACAAAGAAAGAATACGACGCGGACCACTGGCTCATTCTCTCAAAACCAGACGAGATTGCCCATGACCTTAATGCATGGATTGAGAGCACTGTCGCTACAAAGGCCCATCTCTAGGTTATTAAGTTCTGTATATAAGGGGAAAGCGAAGGCTGATGTTTTTCCTACGAACAGTAGTTTCATCCTAGTCCGGTTGGCAGCAGTAGTGTACAGTGATGCAACGGATCGAGATATCTATCTGAAAACGCCGGCGTGCTTACCTTGACCCCTGGTCACAAATTGTATTACTATGCCGAATGCCGCAACCGGCCCAATATTCCTTGTGATGTGGCAACTGACGAAGGCGTAAGGTTGTCGTAGCAAGCAGTCCGCCGCAGGTTCAAAGTCCTATTGGGCAGAGATAACCGTTGAAGCGACGACAAGTTTGTGATGATACATATCTTGTAGGCCCGGACGAATGATTTGTCTCCACGCAGAGCCGGAAAGCGAGAGACCACTTTCGTATGTGGCAGCTGGGAGGTAAGTAGAGTGGCAGAAGTGAAGGGCTATTGTAGATTCAGACAGAGAGTTACGTGGCACAAATCTTGACTACAAGAGAGCATAGTAGAGAGAAGAGCAGCTGAGGACGAGGACGAGGGACGTGAAACTTACAGATGAGGATTCAGGAAAGGAACGCGTGGTGCGCGTACTAATAATAATTTATTACGTAGTGCCGCGGCGCTTATGCACGACGCGCGTAGCACGTGCGCGCAGCCCACCGGCGTCTATTGAAGCCGGAACATCAGGAGAGCTTTGCGCCGTGCGGAGGACGCTACTTGGCTCTTCCGAGTCTTCGCTACACTATCGGACGCATGCTCTGTTCGACACAAGCGCTATCTAATATCGTCATAAATTTTGTACAGATGGAAAGATTAATCACGCCTGCAGCACCCGGTATGCTCTAGTCGTCTTTACCCAGCGCGCGGCTGCCTGCATTAACCCATAACTTCGCCTCGTATTGTCCTCCTGATTGTCAGGTCAGACATAGATGAAGCAAGCAATACACATGAAAAGGACGAGCAGGTGGCTCCAACGGTGTACTCTCCCCTACAATCTACTGTCTACTGCCGGGCAATTGCCCGCACACGGCGTGCTCACAGACCCACAAACAATACCTAGTCCTAAATCTTTATGAGGCACAAGGGATATTTCGGGCACCCAGTTCGTGAAAATCAAGGTCTATACATCACCGTACGTTGCATATAGGCTCCAGCAAGGGTTAAAATGATATCTTCATTGGTACGTAATCAACGAGTACGCTAGCGTAATTAAATACAGCAAGCAAAATAAGATCAAAGGAGCCCATCGTCATCAGCTTACTCCTACCTCTCTTAGGCTTTGGACAGCTGGTGAGCGCGACTTTCAAAATGGGGGGCTGCGAAGATACTTATCCATTGGAATTGACTGTAGAGCGATAGTGCGAAAGCGAAAGGAGAAGATTTAAAGCGCGTGTTGGTTTCACTCGCGAGCATCACGACCCGCGAGCTACTTATCCCGAGGACCAAGGAAGGGTCCGCGCCAGGACGACTCTGGCCAGAGCCGCCCTTCCCTCGGGGTGCTCACCTTTCGCTTTCTTGCTCACGCTGTCAGGTCAAGAAGACGGAGAAGAGAAAGTCGAAGAAGAAGATGAAGGAGAAGATGAAAAAGGAAAAGGAAAAGGAAAGAAGAAAGGAAATCCGCCGGAGAGGGGCCACCACTCCGTCGTTGCGCAACCAGGGGACAGCGTCCCACACGGCTGAGGTCCCGAGAGCGAGTGCGACGCCAACACCTCGCCTCAGGACCGGAGGAAGCGAATCTCATCCTTGGATGAAACATTGGCCTTTCGCGAAGAGCAGAGATAGTGCCAGGATCCCGCTCCAGCGTGCCTTGCGCATGGTCCGGAGGTGGTGCCAGCACGACCGGTTCCAGTGATGTCGCGCGTGTGACGGCTGGGTCTGACCTCTGACCTCTCAGCCGTCGGCGACCTGGCCTGAGTACGGGGTGAGCCGCACCGCCAGTGGTGATGGTCGGGCCGAGGGCGAGAGAGGATCGGCCCTCTGCCGTCGAACCCTCCGGTGAGACGGGGCCATGACCGTCCACCGTTGCACAGACCGCAGGTATCAGCCCACGGCTGAGCGCCGGCCACCATCCTGGAGGGTCTAGAATGTCTCCAAGCAGGGGCCGGCGGCACCGGGCACGGCGAACGTTAGACGTGCGACGTCCCGGTCAGGCGGTGAGTAAAGCAGACCCCGCAGTTGGGCTTTCGGCGAACCGTCCACCCGCCCTTGGGACCTACAGGAACCAGATGCATGATACCCGCTCCCGGCATGCAGCTGTTGAGCAAGCGGCGGCAGCGGGCACAAGTTCCCGCATGCCTGTGCTTGTACCGCAGGGTGACCACTGGTCGTGGCCAACCAGCCGTCGGCGGCTTCCGGATCGTGGGGTCGACCACGGTCTGCGGAGAGAAGCAGGAGACGGCGGGCACGACGCCTGTGTCCGTCGCGGCCTACAACTCCATGGTGCCCTGTGCAACAGTGATCAGCGGATCACAGATTATAAAGAGGACGCGAGACGATAGCGCACCAGGTTGAATGTGTGAGCTCGAGAGAGATGTGGAAGTAGAGGCGTCTTCTGGGGCTGGGAGACTGCGCATGATACTTATCCCTCCCTTCGAGGCTGACGGACTCGATCACGAGAATGTTTGTTGAACAAGAATCAACAAACACCCACCATATGTTTATCTGTGTTTGTTTTCACTCTGTTTGCTCTGCACGACGGCATTTCGGACACTAAATCGTCAGTCTGAAAGTGTATGTCTCTACAAAGTAGTGCATCGGAAAGCTGGCTGACGTCGCCGCAATACCATCAGTGCGCTGGGTGCTTTGTCCGCGGTACATCTGACCTCGCACATGGCTCGGCTCTGAATACACGAATCGAACCAACCTGCCTATTTGGGAGGCGCAGAAGACGTACCGACTCTGCTGGATGTCAAACTTTTCTTCTCCACAAACTGCCCTGACTGTGTCGTCTCCCTCTCTCTGCGCCGCCTCTCGACCATACCTTGTACGGACAGAAGCCACAGCCTGCGGCTCGTATCAACGCGAGCTCACAACCTAGTATTGTCATTAACGTGACTAGCCGATCATGCGAGAATCACGCCTATCCGCGTCGACGACGACCCAGAGCTCGAAACGACGCCGACTTGAAGACACTACAAATAAGCCGAACCCAAAGCGTCTGCGATCCACAGTTCAAAGCTCTCCGGAAAAGCTTGCGCACCACCTGACTACGTCTCCTCTGACTTCTCTCTCTAGATGTGCACTGTCACCAGCCGCGTCATCGTCGAAACATAGGTCAAAGCTACCGAAATCCCTACTGTCTGGGGACCTGCTCCATTCGACGACTTGTATGGCGCCGACGCTGATGTTGTTCCCCAAGGCAGCGAGGGACACTACGGTGTCGTTGTCAGTTCTTTAGCTGGACGCTCTCCCGCATTTCACGACATCCTAGCCACGCAACGAAACCCTCCACGAACTAGACTCGTTTACCAGCCACTCGCAGAGATGCTGTGAGCCCGCGGAGCGGTCGCGTGCGCCTTCATCCGTTTCGGAAGCGGCGCGAGCTTTCCAGGACGAGCCCATCCACAAACGCCTACCTTCGCTAGAGCGTCATTTAACGGGTCTGCGACGAATTGCGAATCCGACTAGGATTCCTCGCCAAGTTACCATACCTCTCAGCAAGTCGGTCGCCTTCCGTGCTGCCTACGAGCGGCGGAATAGTGACCCCTACCTGCCGTCGCCCTCTTCAAGATCTTGCACCTGGTTTATCAACTCAATACCCTAGCCTCAAGACGTGAAGACGAGCAAGAGCATCCCTGAGGAAGCAAGAGAGCGCAAGATAAGTATTCGCAAGATGGAGGCATTGGCCGTCCTAGCGCAGAATCTCATGTCTTTGAACTCGGGAGCGAAAGCAACATGCGCTTCAATATCCAGTGCTTTCTAAAACCGCCTCAGTGAGATTCGCGCCGAAAGAACCAGATAGTACATCATATTTGATGTGGTAGTAAGTCAGAAAGCCTCACCGCGTACAGCCGCCGCGTGGTGCGCACTGCGCACAGCAGCGCCGGCATAGTATGGCAGGTTGAACTCGTCCTGGCACACGTTTTCTCCGAGACGTTGTCAGTTGTACACTCTTCCTTCTTGCATAGACATATTTTTGTGGATTTATGTCATTATTACCACTTAGAACCTATCTATTTATGTAAAGTCTGGCCAATGAGAGTACGTGACGCAGCCCTACAAATGGGCGCCTGGAGCATGCGCGGAGCCCAGTGGCGCTTTAAGACGCAGTCGCGTAAGAGAACTCTTTCCACCTTATATCACCACCACCCCAGCCCCTCCTCCTGTTCCAACGCGCAATCTGCCACCACTAACACAATGTCGCTCATGGGCCTGCCAACCGAACTTCTTCTGATGATTCAACACGAGATTAGGGACGACCTGCTAGCTCACGTCTGCCTCATGAAGCTCAACACTCGGACGAGGGCCTTGTACAACGCGTTCGGGACGGACTTCTGGAAAATGCTCTGTCGGAGAAATGGCCTGGGGACGCTCGCTGGTGACAGCGTTGGAGCTGGGCTGTATCAAACGATTGCTGTAGAATGTGCCGAGCACGCCTGGGTGTGTGAACACCCAAGTTGCGGGACGGCGCGCCTACTGGAGAACGGTGAGTCTGCCCAGTGCTCAAGCTCTAGGGACCACGTCTAA